CCCCAAAACCCCAAAACCCCGCTCGACCTAATTCTAATTATTGAAATTAATTGAATTTAAATTATCATTATCAAATTTTCATTTTAAAATGTAAAGCAAAAAGGGGTACTCAATTGTAGGACTCATTGGGGGATTATTCACACATCAATCATTTTTTGTGGGAATGTATGGGTGGCTTTTTGATAAAGGCTGGAACTATCCCCTCTACTCTAGTGGATTTCTAACTTGTAATAATTTTAAATTATTTCATTTCATAGTTGGACTTTTCATTGTTTCTATCGGCTATATGATAAGAAAAATTTTGATATACTGAGACCCTAATGAATAAATTTGCTACTTGTCTCTAAAGTAAAATTGCTTGATTAGCTCTCTATATGCTGGCTATTTAATGTGCTAAGCTTAATCTTTATTCTAAAAGGATATGAATACAAGCTGATTTCTAATTCTATCACTTTCAGCAGATTTATTTTGGATATGTATATTCTCCCCAATTTTTCTTAAAAGGAAATTAACATCATAACATTGGATAGCAGTCATCCTATCAATAATTGGATATTTGCTATTTGACATGATATATTATGAAGGAAAATCTTTATCTTCATTTTCAATTAACCCGTAGGCGATTCAATATCAAGGACCACTTTTTTGCATACTTTCAAGAATGTTTTCAATATTATGCGGCATTATTTCAAAGAAAATTCTACTTATGAAAGGATTTAGAGAAAGACTGAAAGAAAAGAGAAGAATAAAAGTAGCCACATGCATTTAGCCTAAAGATCTAGATGATAATGGGTAGCTTAAACAAAGATTCGTAAGGAAATCATCAGTAATTTATAAAAGAGCCTCATTTTATAAGGCACTAAATGATAAAATAATCGTAGAAGTTAATAAGAATGAAGAATCTGAGATGACAACTGAAAAAAGCAAAAGCAGGCGGTCTAGTGAAGATTAGAATCCTGATAGAAGGAGAGCTCTTGAGAATTTAAGAAGATTAAAAAGATCAAGTATTGATCGTCTACTTAAGAGTAAGTAAGCGTTTTTAATGAAAGTTGAAAATACTGAAATACCAACAATGATGAATGAAACGAGAACCGATCTTTTAGGGAGAAATAAATAAAATCAGAGCACATAAAGTGTGGATTACAAGAAAATAGAAAACGACTTCTTTGAAAATCTTGAATTAGAGGCCATGATAGATCACTATGACCATGTTTAATTGCATATGCATTTATTCAACGGTAAAGATGATATTGTCTTGTCCAAACTTGACTCGATATTTGATTAAGCTATTTATGATGACTAAATGGTTGGTACTTGCGATTATACAACTTATGAATTGCATTCAGTTTCTGGTGCTCTAGGCGCTTTTCCTTTAACTTTGCTAGGCTCATTTTTAGCTGGGGAAATGCCAGAAGCGTATCATGATTTACTAAATGGTAAAATAGTCGGCCCTATGGGGGAAAGTTATGGACCAGTTGCTGTTGTTTCTGTATTTTCTATATTATTCGCACTGAGACCATATTTCCTTCATAAGTTGATTTTTAATACATCTCCTTTTGATTATTTTCTTGAGAACATTCTTTGTTATTTCCTAGTCTTGATTATCTCAGTGATATTTGTAGAGATCTAAGGAGACATTAGTACTACAAAAAATACATCGCTTTTGATAAGTGCTTTTGCTTATTTTATATTTTACAATGCTAGCGTTACATTAATAAGAGTAAATTATTATAGTCTAGATTATAAATTATTTTAGAATTAAGAAATTGAAAGTTCAATAGAACTTCTCAAATCTACATTAAATCTTGGTACAAATATTGATGAATTAAACAAAATAGAAACACAAGTATGAATTTTATATATTAATTCTTATAGCTTTAATCTATTCAAGATCTTCTAGGAAACGATGCATTGTATAGGATAATGCTTGACGCTGCAATAATGAGAGATTATAGATGCCTATACCTAACTGCTAATCCAATAGTTATGTCAAGAAGGCTATTTGATCCAGAATATGATTATAGAATTGCTGATTGGGGTGGAGGCTATCCAAGACCATTCTGAGAAATAGTTAATAAAACTTGGAAAAGTAAAGAGTATCTTGAAGATAAGGTTATAGTGATTAGTGAAGATCCTCACTTAAGTAATAAAGCGTTATAGTAAGCAAGTGAACTTAAATAAGAAATACTCATTAAAAGAGAGCAGACAAAAGAGAGAAAGAGACGAGAAAAGATAGACAAAATATATCAGCAAAAGATAGATGAGTAAAAAAGAATCTAGGTTGAACTTGCAAAGAAGTATCTAGTGCCATTACCGACTGCTTAACCCTTCGATCCTAGAATTCACTTCAATACGTCAATAGATATGCTGCAAGATAAAAATCTTATGAGAAGAAAAACACTTAATATGAGGAAGGATATTTTGTTCAAAGAATCAGATTTACCTGATAACTTTAGAGAGCAAATTTAAGAGAGAAAAACAATGGTACCTTAATCATTTCTGCATTCAATGTATAAGCTAATCGATGAAAAATCAATTCAAATTCAGCATAATGAAGATCTTGAGAAGACTATGTTTAAAAATATATTTGAATAAGCTGACTGGCTAAATATGAAAAAAGCAGGAGTATTAATGGGTATAGAGGACTATGTTAAACTTGACATAGAAAATAATTAGGTCAAAGTTAAGCAAAAGACTAAGTCCAGGAGAAAAAAGGAGTTTTAGTTAAAGCGCATGGATCACAGTGAGAGCAGTAATAGCGATGAGGAAGATTAAAAATAAGTAAAGAACCCAAATAAGATGGATTTATTTCAGCCAGTAACAGAATTTAATCAATTTAATTATATGTGAATTATTTCAGATTGAGGTTATATTTATATTTCTCCATTGTGGGGTTTTGGGGTTTTGGGGTTTTGGGG